TTCCTGTTGGCCGACATGGGACAGTCACAACAATTTGTGGAAAGTCGCTGCTCGGAATAAGGACGAAATCATTCAAGAATATGGCTCTTAAATCAAATCAATCACCCATCTTGCCCCTTAATATCATACATTTCTTTGTTTATGCATATGTAATCATTTTTTTTCTAGGTTAGGAATGATGAGCGTGCCAAACAGCTGGTTGATTGTGTGGAAGAAGAATGGCGTCGATTTTTGGTGGTTCACTGTCTCCGCCTCCTCTTTGGCCCACTCATCGAATATCTGTTGATTAGTGATCGAGTTGAATTTTTAAAAGAACATGGACATAACGCGGTTGTGGTCCCTTTGTTTGACCCGAAAGATCTCTCCTAGGAATTTGGCGATTATCGCATACAAAAAAGAATTGTGATCACTATTAGCAATCTGGGCACTTTTCAGCTATCACTGCTCCACTTGTCGGAATCCGATCTAGATCTTTGTCAAGATTAGTACTGGAGGTGGGCCGGAGTAGATATGCAAGAAAATAGTTCCTGTATTAGTTCAAACCCTTGAACACGAGTAATGCTTCGGTCTAGAGCGAAAACGCGTGACGCTCTTACGAAATTTTCGGCTAAGCATGTTCAACTCGACATTTTTACGGACCGTAATATGTAATAGCTCATCTGAGGTTGGAACCTCTTGTATATCTGAGTTGTTTCGGAATATTTTGTTTCCTTCCCTGCTTCAGTTTCATAGCTTTCTGCATTCCGAACATTTACGGGACATTCACGTAAAATGCCGTACAATACCTTCCCATGTAGAGCAAGAACTTTTTAACTGTTCAGTGCCCTTGTTCTTCTACTTCGCTCACTTTCTGCTGCCTCTTTTATGTTCTGCATCTCTGTGTAAATTTCATGAATAGTGAGCTTTTTTCGTATCCCTTTACCGTTGTCTGTAGACTAAAATCTCATGATTGAGACAAATGCAAATGTCCGGCGCCATATAATTGCGTAATATGTTTTTATTTCATTTGAGGAACTGTCTAGGTGACTATCACACCAGTTGATGTGCAAAATTGTGTTGTTGCATACTGTTGTTGGTATTTTTACTGTTTAGTTATATGAATATACATATGTGTGGATTTTTTCGCCGGATGAAAGTTCTTGCAAGTTAGAAACCTTAGATTTCAAGGCTCTATAGGCCAGACCATGGCAAACGTGGAAAGGCTATTCCCTCTGGCAAGTTTGGCATTGCGAGAAAAAGGGGTGTGGGCGAGGAGCTCGGAACTTTGTCAACTCAACACAAGGAAGTTGCTTCGAAACCGGAAACTCTTTCCTTCTAGCCTTAGGCAAGAATTTTCACTAGGTCTACTATAGCTTTCCTTTCGTACCCCCTTCGAAGAAAAGACGTCGAAACGAGGCTTATGATATTTCTTAGCTCTACTCTCCGAAATTACGGTACAAACATGCGGCAAGGTTGTGTTGAGGTGTCAGTTACTTCCCATGCAGTGGAGGTGTCAGTTACCTCCCACGCGCCCCATTGACAATATGGTTGCGCTGATCGCAATAACCCACTTACAGCCGTTAAAAAGGAAATTTTCGCGCCTTCAGCAGCTGGCGCGAGATTTTTTGACATCCAATTTACTATAACTGTCCGAAGTTCTTACTGCTTCTTTGTCCGATTTTCGTTCCATTTTCGGTGAAACACGATATATTTCTATTTGCTCTGAAATAGTACTGTTTTGGTAGTAATGTGACGTAAACTACTGCGATTGTTTCTGCAAAACGTCCGCGGTAAGTTTAGTGATGATGAGTAGGGTAATGAGAGTTTAGGTTAACCAGTAATATTCGCCGTAGTAATCATGGTAACAGTCGATGTACGCGGAGTGCAAGTTATGTTTCCATTTGCTCCATATGATTGTCAGACGGCTTATATGGAGAAGGTGATCGAAGCGATCGATATGGTAAGTTTAACCACAGTGTTTTACAAGTTCATTGGGCGATGTTGCGTGCGTTCGCGCGTTCCGCAGCAAGCAGTTCGAGGCTTGCGCTCTAGGTGCGTACAAGTGGTGGTATGAAACGTTCGCAAAAAACGTTTTTTTTTGATGAGAGTGGAGGGGAGTGAAGGACGGCTAATGCCGTTTGGACTCCAGAAATTTCGGCTCCGAGCTCATTTTCAAATTGCCTAAGCCGCGTTGTGACATCTTGGTACACATGCCGTCCAAGAACATATCTTCTCTAAACTATACTTTCAACCAGTACAGTTGGACTTTTAGAAGTTTGACACTGCTTTGGAGTCCCCTACGGGTACAGGAAAAACATTGTCGCTGCTTTGTTCAACATTAGGATGGCTCAAGAAACAAAAGAGTATGATTCAAGGGACATTCGAAGACGCAAGTCAAATTGCCTCAGGTAAGGCTGCTTGCCATCAAAGATACCCCGATTACTTTTTGGGGCGCTATGCTCATTGCGGCGAGGGCGCTCCTGATTAAGCTAACAATAAGCTAATCATGTACTGACGCGAAAAAATTATGACATGAAGTGACTTTGACCCGCGGGACAGTGGGCCCTCCTGAGGGATCCGCGCTTTTTAACGCGTCTATACTTCGCGATTCATCGCGTGGATCGCGCGATCTGACCGCAGGCGATCACATAGCGAACGGGCTCTACCGCTCGGACTGACCCACCGTTGGATGTGGGTGAAGATAGATATTGAATGTTGTTCAGACCGAAGCCTAGTTCAGTGGACGTATATCCCTTTTTCAACCACACATATATCCATTCGAGTTCTCGGTGAAATGCGTTGAAGACGCATTAGTCGGAATAGCGGTAACCTTAGGAAAAGTCAAAGATGTTTCGCATTTGGTTTATTGCCATTGCCACAAACTTTGTATTCACGGAAAAAACTGGCTGTGATGGTGTGAAAGCATACTATACTAGTAGTACTTTTTAGGTTATGCTCCTCTGCCTTCTACATTGTTCCCTCGTATTTATTACTGTTCCCGAACTCACAGTCAGCTATCACAGGTCGTCCGTGAATTGAATCGGACCATGTATAAAGAGTGAGTGCTGAATTTTTTTTATTTCAATTTCATTACTTTCATTATTGTTGTGTGCAGTACTCGAACGTCCGTACTTGGCTCACGTGATCAGCTCTGCATTCATGAAAAAGTTAACAAGGTGGCAGACAGTCGCATAAAGGTGTGTTCCACCTATGTTTGGTGCAGTTTTTTTTCTCATGGTTCCAGGTCGACCCGCCTAGTTGGTTAAGCTGTACCTGTCAAGGTAGAAATTGAGGGGAGATAGGGTCTGGTGGTCTGGTCGCCGCGCGACGGAGTGGCAAATCGCGATTGTCTTTGTCACCTTCGTTCACGCTCCTTCGATTGTTTTCATGTGAAGTTCTTTCTGTACGAAACCAACCTACTTTACAAGATTTTCAGACATCGATGTGTCGTAACATGGTCTCACGACGAACTTGTCACTACTACAACAACTGGGATAGTGAGTTTTAGATATGATTACCTGCACAGTACGTCGTACTTCTGTAAACTCCAATCTCACTTGGGATGATACTGTTCCTTTCGAGGCTGATAAGTGGAGCTTTTATTGAAGCGGCCTACGTTTCTTTTGAATCGTCACCTTGGGAGGCTTTAAAAATGGTTTGAAGTTCAGACTACGCACCAATCCACCGAGAACCTCACTCCTCTGGCCGCTCCGACGTTCTGTCAGGAGCCTCGGGAGAATTTCAAGCAATCTTTAGAAAGCGTATCTCTGGGATTAGAGCATATGTACTGTACTTCGAACCATTTTCAGGCTTCTAAAGGTGGCAATCCAAACGTTACGCCACTTCGGTAAAGGTTCCATCTATCAGTTTTGAAAGACACATAAGAAATTAGTTATTTCGCTAAGCAGTGTCCACAGACTGGCTTTTCCTGTATCACACCTTGTTTACCGAAAAATCAGGAACATATTAGTGATCTTCTAGAAAGTTCTCGCGATACGCTCGATAGTTTGTTCACGGAAAGTGGGAACGTTCCTGATATTGAAGATATGGTCACTATTGGGCAAAATCACAGGTATTGTTAGTTTTATTGACAGTTCAGATCAATTTTGCTGATGGTCGATATCTCGGGGTTTAGAGTCATACTAATGTGGAAGGGATGTACACTACTAATCATGATACGATCAGCACAGGTCCCTATCTTGTACGTTTCCAGTACTTACTCGTTAAACCCCTTTAGGTCGACGTTCGACTATTAAGATGACTTACCCTTACACTTTTACCCATGAGCCTTTTCTCTTCTTCGTAAGTTTCTAATGTGAACGGTTCAAGAACACTATTGGATTGGCAGGTGGACGAACAGAAGCGATGCCATTGGCGCCCCCTTTTTTTCGCGCCTTTTTACCCGCCCTGGAAAGAGGGGATAGGTGGAGAGCGCCAGTGAAATCGTTCCTTCATACAGCTCTGCCGGCAATCCTGGCCTGTTCCTTTAACTCATGGGTGGGTTGCATTGAAAATAATCAGATGGCGAACTTGTGGGCATTTTTTTTGTAGACTGTGTCTGCTCTCGGTTGCCCTGTTCAAACTTGTTCAGGTTCAGTCATGAGAATGTTCGCTATGTGCCTGAAATATGCTTTTTCAGAATATGTCCGTTCTATCGATGCCGTCAAATGCAGGAAACGGCAGAGTTGATATTATCTCCTTACAACTACATAATCGATCCTCAGCTGAGAAAAAATTTCAAGATCGATCTCGGTGGAAGTATAGTTATTTTCGATGAAGCTCATAATCTAGTAAATAATAGGATTCTATCAATATGTGCTGCATATGACCAGTCTCCTCTAGGAGAGCATTTGTGAAGACGTTGTATCGATGGAGATTTCTTCTGTCAATATTGCGCTTGCCATCTCCGAGCTAAAGGATGCTATCGAGTGCTTACAGCTCGAAACAGAACAGACCAGGAATGAACTGGTTTGTCATTGTTTCATTAATGATCACTTTTGACTAACCAGGGAAGTCCGCCAACTTACCATGGAACTTTGAATGGAGACCTGGGTAGATCGATAGAGTCTATAAGGTTATTTACAAATATAGATAGCAAAACTGCAAGCAGGTAAAGTTTGTAATGGTGCAGTAGGGTGGAGGCTTGGTGGTGAGCTGTGAAGCATAAGCGAGGAATCGCATACGTCGAATCGTGGTGGTTCAGTGGTAAGGTTCGACGTTCGACGACTCGATTCGACGTATGCGATTCCTCGCTTATGCTTCACAGCTCACCACCAAGCCTCCACCCTACTGCACCATTACAAACTTTACCTGCTCATAAGTTGCTTGTGAAATGCAGGTTGCAGTTTTGCTATCTATATTTGTAAATAACCTTATAGACTCTATCGATCTACCCAGGTCTCCACTCAAAGTTCCATCGTAAGTTGGCGGACTTCCCTGGTAAGTCGTTTACTGCCTCAGTACCTTGAGGGCACACTGTACAGCCCTTGGGCCAATTGATAGTGCGTGGAAGTGAAGCGGGAGGGTTATGCCGATTCATGTTTTCGACATGCGTTGCGCACGTCGAAGCACGCAACGCGGCCAGTCGTGTGACTGCCGGTGTGGCGCTGTATGGCGTGTTGTTCGTATGGCGTGTTACTCGAGTGTGTTATTGTTTATCGAATAGCAACCGCATGTAATAAAAAAATGTGGGACATGAATAGACGATCTAATGTATCTAGCTCCACTGACACATACTTCCGAATCTTCCGAATGATGGGGATACTACAAGCATGCTGTTGTGTACCCACCTCACAGACCAAGAAGCTCCACCTCTCAATTCGTCGTACACTGTGCTCTGAAAGGGAGTTTGGGCGAAGTGCGATCAAGGTGGGAGATGGGCAAGAGAATCGTAAATTGTCGCCTCCTCGCACGCGGCCAATGGGCGTACGTTCCTTCATTTGCACTATCCTTCCTATTGGAGCGTCGGATTTCATGTAGACAAGGAAATGGTAGACACTTATGTCTATTTTTGGTCATACATTGTCTATTCTCGACCAATACCACCTGAAATCGTCGTCATTAGCAGGCGCGACGTCGCACGCGACGCCCACTGGCGCGGCGAATTACGATTCTCTTGCCACATACCCGATCAGGGTTGGATTGAAGAGCGTTCCAATAGCGAATCGTTCAAGTGCCTTCCAGCGCTTTTCTGGATATCATACGGAAAAAGCTCTCTATGTCTTCAGGACAACTCTTCTCAAGCCTTCGGCAGCGGGACAGCGGACTCTGAGAAGCAGAAGGGCCCCTGCTTTCAAGTGGGCGATGCGGCAATATTACTATGTGAGCCTTATAGATTTGAGAGATTGGATTTGAGTAAGTATCTACCATTTGACTTTCAGCAATGCTCTTCGAACTTGAGGTAAAAGTTGGGGCAACGTATAATGATCAATCCGGGCTCAGTCTCGAGGGATTTCCTGGGAAGGTAACAAGTTTTCGTTATTTCTTCTTCGCTCATTTCTCAGATTTCTTATTGTCTTTCATTTGTCTAGGTTTTTCCCGGTCATCGCCTTCTGGAAACGTTCGAAGGTGCCGGCTTCTCTTACGACAAAGTAGACGCCATATCTAAGTTAATTCTAGATGTAACTGACTATCTTCAACGCGAAAGTAAGCTTAGCTGTATAGTTTGGCTTTGGATGGCAAACCATAATATTTACAACCTATTCAAATATTTTACAGCTGATGTGAAACCAGCATCACCCGAAAGAGGAAAGAATTTAGAACTGTTGAGAAGTTTCATTTCGGTGGTCTATTTGAGTTTGTCCAGGGAAGCTGCTCTTGCTATCACTGACCAAAATGTAGTTATTGTGAATATATTTAGCATTTCTCTATGCAAGTCATTGAAGGAATTGTTTCATAGGAACTGAAAAGTGATGATAATTTTAGTAGTAACCAATACCAAGCAAAGACGTCTGTAGTCTGAATAGTTGTTTGAAAGCCTTTTGTCGATCAGGCGATTTAGATCTGATACTACTATGAATTTGAATACCTCATTCAAGGTCAGTGGAGGAACAACTAAGACTGGGAACATTACCCTAGATCCTAAAAGGATTGGTAAACACTTTAAGCTCTACATCACGATGGAGGAGGAGACAGCCGAAAAACCGGCTTGCGTGAGTATTTTTCAGATATTTCTCCTATACTGCTCTGTTATTCTTTCATTATAGACAGTTTTGAAGTTTTGGTGTTTCTCACCTTCAATTGCAATGCGGGCATTAAAAATGAATGGAGTGCGGACTGTTATTGTGACGAGCGGAACATTGTCACCATTAGCAAACTACACTCAAAATATCGGACTGTGAGGACTTACTAAGCTGCGATTTCTCCCAGCGCGATAGTGCTAAATTGTGTTTATAGCGATTTCGGTAGTACGCTGGAGAACAAACATGCTGCCAAAGGAGATCAGGTTATTGCTGGACTTGTTGGCAGGTCGCCAATCACTGAATCTGTCCTTAATGGATCATTTGCAAAAAGGTAGGGTAGTACCTTTTAGCGTGGATTTGATGTGTTGCACATATTTGCCTTTTCTGCGCCTCTCACCCTACACAACTATGAGTTCGATGAAGGTTGGTCGCTGCACTCATTCCCCCTCTTCCAGGAATGACAAAATGTACGCCATCGGCATCGCTGAAAGTATTCTTTCACTGGCTAGCACTGTTCCCCAAGGTGAGAGATTATATGTTCATCAGTCTTCCACTAAAACCTTTTGTTCAGGAATACTTGTATTTTTTGCGTCATATAACTTGATGAATACTCTATTATCAAAGTTCAAACAGTTTCCCTATAAAACAGGGTTATCAAAAACCTACTGGGATTGTATGGTTGAAGAAAAGATGGTTGTGGTTGAACCTAAACAGAAAGTAAGTTCTGAGTACGTTGCCCTCCATCCTATTCAAACCCCCAGTTTTGTTTTCATGTTAGCGTGCAAACAAAGTTTCCCTCCGAGTTTCTCTCAATGCTGACTTACGGGTACAGAATCGAACATAGAATGCTCGCTTAAACGTTTGTTTAAGACATTGTAACTTTTACGTGAATAACAGGTACGAGAGCTCTCTTACTAAGTGACGGTGTGTGCCCTATACATACATATTCGAGTATGCACGCTGTGATAGTCAGTGGGTAGCAAGCATATCGCACATCTTCACCTTCTCTACTTGCGAAACTAACTAGAGTAGCATGCTTATGGAATAACAAGTCCGTATTTCGGTCTCAGTTGCCTTAGAGAAGAGCTTGCATTTTGAAGCTTTCAATTCTGTCGAGACCACCAACTGTTCGAAACCTCGTCTCAATGATTACTCCTCTGAAAGTAACACGTTAATTTTTCATGAAAATACGATAACTACCCAGGTTTTGAGCGTTTTCTGCCCTTTTCCTCTGTCAAAAACAGCACGTTGTTACAGAATTTGCTGAATAAAGTGCGATCTGAGTTTACCCAAGCTGTGCGATCCGGACGAGGTGCCATGTTTTTCGCCGTATGCAGAGGAAAGGTAAGAGCATTCAATGCTCCTTGTGCGGTCGTTAACTGGACCTCTATTGACTTCATATTTGCTCGGAACATCTCTCTCTCTCTCATCAATCCAAAATTGCTTTCGAGAGATATTGATACAGTACATACCTCGCCCACTCGCGGGCCCCGTACGTGGATCCACCCACTGGACTAAACTAATTTAAATGCATGAGAGCTCAGCTTGTAGTCACGAACCGGCTGGTCACGATGCCATGTGGCCTCATTGCGCAGTACTTTTGAGCAGTCTAAAGCATCATATCGTTGTCTTATATTTGCGCGAGATCAGTGACACTCATTGATAACGCATCTTATTATGTGCTAGTGTTCCTTTCGCTTGGTTCCTTCTTTTTCTTGATAAGCTGTATAGGAAATTTCAGGTTAGCGAGGGCATTGATTTCTCCGACGCTGATTCACGAGCTGTTTGTGTTGTCGGAATACCATATCCACCGATGATGGATGTGCGAATTTGTCTCAAGCGACTTCACATAAACGAGATGGCTGCTAAAGATAAAGTAATTACTTTTTGATGCTCATGGGAATGCAATGACAAATCTTTAGTTTGATATCAGGACTTTCGTAGCCCTTATATGCAGGGGAATCTATGTAGGTTGGACCTTCTAACGAAACACCAGGATTACCTGAGAGATGAGTATTTCCGTGTGTGGCATGAGGAAGTTCGGTGACCTCTAACTGCTAACCAAGTCCTGCGCTCAGAGGTGAGGACACGGCAGTGCCGCACGCATCATGTACTGCCCTGCTGCAGTGATGACAGTTGAGTAAACATGGTGATGCCGCAGAACCAAAGCTACGTCCGTGAGGTGAGTGAACACCGCAATACCGCGCCGCGGGCTACCACTGCGATGCCAGAGAGTGAACAGGTGATGCCGCAGCACGCATCGCCACAGCAATGCCAGAGGAGCAAAGCCGGTGATGGTGAGCATGTACTGCAACAGCAATGCCGAAGGAGTGAGCATGGTAGGGCAGCACCATGCACCGCCATTGATGCCAATGGAGTGAACGGGTGATATTGCAAAATTCAAAATGCATCGCCACAGCAATGCCACAGGAGTGAACGCCTTGATGCCGCAGCTCGCCTTGCTGAAGCAGTACCGGATATGGTTAAACATCCGTTGAGGAATTCTCAATGAGGGCTCATACTTAGACAGTTGGAATAAAGGGTAGGGGGGGGTCGCACTTGTAGGCCCAAAAATATGCTTTATTTCAAAGGTGCACTGAACGTTTGTAACTGCAGGGCTGTGTTATAAGACTCGAATGCCTATCCAGTGACATTAAACGCAAGTGAAAGACGTCTTACATAGGCATTCCGTGGGAGTTGAAGTTGTGGGCAGTAAAGTCAGGAAGGCAAATAACCCAATTTGCAGCTGTAAAGTACTTTCAATTTACGGCAGCGTTTCCCGCTAGGTAATTAAGCTGTAGCAGACTTTTATGCATGTTGGGAAGCGGAAACCTAGTAGTTTCCAAAGTTTTTTGGATCTTCTCTAACAGCCATGTGTGAACGAGGCTATGCCCACCTGAAGGGTTACAACTTGCACGCAAAACATAGTTTCCACTCCAGCCACTTCCCTTCCACTTATCAGTGGGGAAAAAACATCCTTTGTTGTGTTTTCTCGTGTGCCCAAGAAGGACCTGTTCGAAGCCCCCTAGAAATCGCTCATCCCACCCGCAGCTTTGCAAAATGTTTTTCCTGAAGAAAGTTACAACCTTTTTAGGATTCTCTATGGTACAGTGGTTGTAGTGTAGAATGAGATAGCGCGCCCCAATGCTAAAATGCGACACAGCTGAAACAAAACTGTGTTAGAATTACGTCGTTTTAAGTGGCCATGTTTAGCCAAGTGGTCGCGCAGACGAGGTCAACGTGATGCCTGGCCAAGGTGCCAGAGGAGTGGACACACGGTGATGCCGCAGCATGCATCGCTGCAGCAGTGAGTACCAGACAGGGCACGCCATCGTTGTGGTGACAGTTTCATGGACGCTATAAAGGGGGAAGGGGTCGTTGTATTTGGTCGTTGTTGGGAGGGGACCAATCAAAAAATCTATAGCAATTACTATTTCCGAACAGTTGAAAATGATAATGCCTGACGACCCCCCCCGTCTCCCCCCTCCTCCCTATCCCCTTCTCGTTCAGCAGGCACATAATGGAGAAAAACAGGATATTCCTCAAGGGAAAAGCGGTAGAGAGTTGGGAAAATCTAGGAAAGTGGTAGGTAGCATGGGGACGGGTGTCGTATTTGAGGATGGAATTAGGAGGGTCGTATTTTTCAGGACATGATCACAACGCGATGGCGTGCCCTGAGCACCACTGCTACAGCTGCGTCAGGGAAGCGAATCGGTGATGCCGCACCATCGATACCGCAGCGGCGCTAGAGAAGTGATTACGGTGATGTCGGCAGCGCCATCTACGAGCAGTTGCCAAAAGGAGCGAAACGCCGGTCAGCGGTCGCGGTCAGTGGTTTGGCCAGCACTGATGCTCAAAAGGGAGTGAACGCCGAAGGTTGTGGTGATAGTTGAAGTAAAGTGAAGTTGTCCCCAAGCCGCCATAGTCATTACTACAGGGATAGCAGAGGAGTGAACACGGCACTACCGCTCCATGCTCCACCACAGCGGAGCCACAGGGAACACGGCAAGCTTCATGCACTTACCACATCTGTATGGGCAAAGGCGTTTGCCGCCTGGCTTATAGCCGCACGCGACGCGTCTGTTTTACCGCTGCTCTGTCAGCCATGGCCGTTTGTACTGTATGTGGCCTTTACACCGCGTATGGAGTGACTGGCTGACACACAAGCCATCCAGACTATAGCAAACGGCCGTGATTCATTGCTGCACCCATTGTGCATTGTTTGTGAGTCCCCCCCCCCCCCAGTTCGCTCCACATTCTAAAAAAATCCGCGTCTCAGGTGAACGTACAATAAACTTTTGAAATCTCGCTTCTCCCGAAGTATGCAGTCTCGAATAATCTGTGAAGTCCTGCGGACTTGCAAAGATTTCTGGGAACGAAGGGGTTTTTTCTTCGAAAAAAGATTTTCCATATTCTCAACAGTCCTTATCCGTTGCAGTTCCTTACTCATTTCTCCACTCGGAGATCGAAGAATTAGGCTGCGTTTATTCTTTGCGGCAGCGCTAGCGGTAGGCGCCTATCACCGTAAGCCCGCAGCGGCAGTGCCGGGGAGAGGATGGATATCGATCTAGCGTTCCCAGCGTCACCAGCGTTTCACCAGCGTTTTGCTGGCGTTTGCAGCGGCAGGGAGTAGAGACTATGTGGCCGTAAGAGACGCGCAATCGATGTGTATTGTAGAGACTATGTGGCCGTCAGAGACGCGGAGAACTCGCATGGGGTATAGTAGTAGATTGAGGGCGAGTGAGAGACGCGCAATCGATGTGTTTTGTACCCTCCAGCTCTCCCATAGTCTCTACTCCCCTGCCGCTGCAAACGCTAGCAAAACGCTGGTGAAACGCTGGCGTTACGCTGGTGACGCTGGGAACGCTAGATCGATATCCATCCTCTCCCCGGCACTGCCGCTGGCGTACGCTGGAAGCGCTACGCTACGCTGCCGCAAAGTATAAACGCAGCCTTACATTCTTCTTTGCTGCGTAGAGATCGCGCGACCTGTGAGAGGCATTGGAACTTATTTCAGACGCAATCCTCAGACGAATGGTACCTCACCGAAGGGTATCGTGCTGTGAACCAGGCACTAGGTCGTGTTATTCGTCACATAAACGATTTTGGCGTTGTGGCCTTACTAGATGAAAGGTGAGCTTTTGCATGCCCGTGAGAACACGGGTCGCAACCGTATTATATGATTCCCGTCGTGGGTCCATTGCTCTGATTGGCGCTCACCACCTTTCGGACAAACACAGTGGCGATTTCAGATTTGCGAACGTGAAAAGAGAGTATTTTCCGGCGTGGCTAAGATCATCTATCAAGATTTTTGATCGGGGATCAGAGTTCATAGCAGTGACACGCAAATTCTTCAGCGAAAAAAAGTTAGAAGTCAAGGTTAGTCGTCGTTTCCACTTGCTGATCTTTTTTCTAAGTTTATGATTCCGCTTTTAGAAGTCATCGATGCAGTTTACTTTGCGTGACTCTAAAAGTGGAAAAGCTGTTTCTGGGGGTTTTTCAAGGAAACGGCCCAATATTGTTTCGTCAACCGAAGTCAGGCATGAGTACGTTTTTTTCTACGGCCTCTAATAATTATAAGTTGACCGGAGAATTTTGATTAGCTTTTCTTTTTCTTCCTGGAATTATTCCATTTGTGGAGACGAGATTTTTTTTCCAGAATTTGAAAACAATATAAAAAAAACTGGCAGAAGTGCGAAGCTTGGGCTTTTCCGGGTTTTCTTTCCGGTACTGTGAAATGTTGGGCGATTCTAGTGAATCAAGGGTTTGAAGCTTTTCCCGTCCATGTAATGAGTAAGATGGAATAATAACAATTGCGCATAAGTGTTCGCGCTATAGAGAAGACGTTGAATCGTCTGGCCATCTCCTCTAGGTGATATGAGCAGGACGATGCAGGCTCCACACGACGATGAGAGGCTGAGTTGTGTGGGACATTTTGACTCAACTTCCTAACCACTGCACGTACTTTAACTGTTTTTCGACAACGGAGCGGACGGTATGAGGGAAGTTTGTCGTCTCACTCGTAGGTTGGATCTGGTTTCACTAGAGACTTGCACCACCGTCGATTTCAGTTCAAATAACCGTCCAGATGACACTGTTTTCAACGTGTGGTTCAGCCTTGAATCGTTTGAACAAGTGGACAGGGCGTGAACTGGGCATAGTCATTGAAGAGAATTTTCAGTTCGGTGCCTACACCCTTGATGTTCGGACTAGAATGTTAGAGGAAAAGGGGGAGGTGTCTTCATGGTACAGAAGCGAGAAGTCAGAAATGCCGACAGAACGACAGCCCTTTTTGATCTTCTCAAAATCGGTGGTCATATTGTTTCTAAAAGATTTGCCACAGCCTCCTTAATACCTCCAAGCTATGTATGATAGTATTAGCAAATGGTTTTTAGGTGTGTTATGGAGTATGGACTATATACTAATAAGCCAGTGGACGTCGGCGCGAACGAGAACCTGTCAACTGTTGATCGAAATAGTTTGCTTTCAATTTGTGTGGGTTCTTTGTTAGACTTCCTATCTGCTGCGGGACCTTGCGAGTGTTCTCACGGAACATAGACCGCACTTGGGCGTCAAGTGAAACACTTAGAACTTCTTCATCAGTTGCCGCTTAGTTAGAGCATTAGAACACTGTACATTGTCGTTGTGCGAGTGCCATGATGAGTTTAGGTTTGTAGCTAGAATAGGGTGGAGGTTATATCTGGCAGTGAGAAAAATCTTTTCAGATCGTTGATCTCATTTTTTGCGCGCTATATATCTCTCCTTTAGAAGACGGCGCGGCAAAACTATTATTCTTGTACATATGATGGTCGATCGGGGAGGTCTACCTCCTCCCCGCTTGACTGCAAATTATTGGGAGAACAGAAACAAAATGGTAAGATTATAGGTAAGTCGTGAAAGGGAGTCGTCCCGGACTATCGCTGTCGGAAGGGGTGGGGGGACATGCATCTACCCGGCACGCTACCTTGCTGCTTTCGCCCACATTAAAAAGTGCGATCTCGGTCTTCAATCTGAAACTAACGACTGCTGGGATTCATATGTTCTATGAAGCGTGGCATTACTAGAAAAGATCTCTTTAGACTGCCGAGGAATTACTGAAGTCAAAGAAAGCAGTATCACTCGTTGAAAAGTTCAATGCTGGTATCGAATCAGAGGTAACTTCAACGAGCCAATCTGCCCCATTACCGTCTCGAAAAAAGCTGAAACTAGCCGTAAGTTCTGATCTTTTAGAATAAGAGTATATTAACTTTTTAGGTATGTTTTGCTTTTTTGACTTTTTCTGCGAAACGCCAAGGTTTTACGAAGAGAGTAGCTCGACATTTGGGAGAGGTCTTTGGAAAAAGTTGTGAAACTCGCAGTATGTTCCCCAGTATGTTGCGATCGGCTATCTGGTGCCACTAAGATTACATCTTATAAACGCTGACTCCACAACACTTCACAACTGCAGCTGTGCGTGGTTTTTCGCGTTCATTATGTTAGTTGACTCCACATCGTCACGAGCAACGCACAAAGCGTATTAGGTGATTTGAGAACAAGATGATGCATAGCAGGTATTGGAAAATACAGTATAGAACTCTTCATTAAATTTTGTTCGAAAGTGCATTCCGTACTTGCACCCCTCGAACATACTCGTCTTTGTACGTTACTATTAGAAATCTCATTTTTACATATAATACAGAGTAGAAACTAGTTCTATGAGGAGTATGGTGGTGGTGGATCTCTCATCAAAGCCACGATAAGCTCTTGATCGGGTGTGTTTCTGAAATGGAATAATGATAATAATAATAATAATAATAATAATAATATTAATAATAATAATAATAATAATAGTAATTAATATTGAACTTACATAATAATAGAAGCAACTGAATAAGAGATGTCAGTTCACTGACATTGGCACTCTTCGGCATTGTCATATGCTGGTTCTTAACTGAACACCCATTACCCATCATACTTGATCGCGGGAATTTGTTTTTTCATCTACAGTTTCAGCAGTCCAGCGGTGAAGAGCGGCTCAATGTATCTCGCGATAAATCGCGCGGCTGAATGGCTCAAAGTCAGAATAATGAATGCAGCCTATGTGCCATACGATTCAAGCATTTCAAGATGCGCTACGGCTTTGACCATAATTTATTACATCGGAGTATGGTGCTGTCCCGGAGTCTCATTACTCATCTGAATGTGTATTAACAATGTGAAACTCCAAAAGTTTATTCCAAAAAACTCAAAAGACAGCAAAAGTCTCAAAAGTTTTTTAAAATTATCTTATTGGCTGATAATTTCATGCGTACGTAGCACCTTCTTCAGGCCTGAGAATTATTTAGCTTAGTTTTTCCAGAACATAATAAGCCCTACAGAGATGTAACCCGCACGGACTCCCCCATACGAGGCACTTACCGAAATATCCTGGCAAATTAGCCAACCCACCCTAACCACACCCTTAAATAGTGGGATGTGACGCGATCACATTATGACTTGCATAATGTCACGTAGTTCCTCCCTATTGTTTATTTGGGGTGTTAGCCGTTTTTTCCAAGCCTCCATATTTTCCTTTTCCGTTAGCGCTCTTTACGACGGTTAATACTTTCGACCATAAAAAAGGGTGGTCCTGGTGAGCGTGCTCCATTGAAAAACGATGCGGGAGAAACTGCTATTAGGGTAAGAAGGTGGATTTCCCAGCGCCCTCCGGTGTTCGTCGATCCGTTTGTATAGGGGCCTCCCAGTTTCTCCCACATATTTTTGCCCGCATCCTTGACATTCCACCAGATAAACTGTCCCCTGAGTTGACAGATTTTAGAATCACTGCAGTAACTACAGCCTGCCCTTCCACATTTATCTTCATAAGGCCTGGAAAATGTAAGGAGGCGTTTTAAATTTGGTGGAGGACGAAATATTAGGCGTATAGGAAGTGGTGAGCACTTTACAATATTATTTACTTTTAATGCCGTGCTTTCATTTAGGGTGCGGGTGCTTGTATACCCATTCTCTCTTAGAATTCTATCCACCATCGAGTCTACTTCTGATGACTGCTGGGTGCATATTTTGTCCTTAGTGATCACCATATTCCGGACAACATTGGCTTTCATGTACAGGGGGTGACCACTTCTAGCATGCAGCAACACGTTCTTCGAAGCTGGCTTTCTATACCAGGATAACTCCGTGGTACCATTTCTGATCCGAACCTTGGTGTTCAAGAATGGGACAAATCCTTCATTGTTGGGGTTCTCCACAGTGAACCTAATGTTAGGGTCCTGCGAATTCAAATTGAGAAGTGTCCCGTCCAATTCCGCTGAAGACGAGCCAATTATGAACACGTCGTCGATATATCGCTTATAGAAGATTATGCCAGCTGTCAGTGATCTTCGTTCCACGAAGTCCAGGTACACAATGGCCAGCAGTGGTGCTATTCGTGATCCCATGGCTAAACCTCGATGCTGGACTCATAAAATCTTTTTTTTTCTCGTTGTACTAATCATAGCAGCTACCGATGGACGATGATATGAGAAGCGGCATTAAACCTCGGGCATCATTTGCAGTATGAACGCTACAGATAAAAACGATGGTGGCAGTCAGTCTGGGGTTCAATAAATTTGCATGTAAATTAAGGTTGAGGGAAATCAATGGTCCAACAGTTTTAGATCAAAAAGTCCACTGTTCTTGCAGCCGCACCGTTCCCAAAAAGTAAATGCACTGTTCCAAAACCAATTGGGGCGCTTCGAACCAGTGCTCACCGATTTACACATCGAGCTCAAAAGTGCCTACGCTACGGCGAGGCAAACAAAAATTTGGGTCCAACCTAACAGTGCAAGAATGCAAAGGCCTCAAGAAGCTCTGAAGATAGGGATACATGGGGCAAAGCGGATCGCGATGAAAGTATGCAAGCAGATCACATCGCAGTTAGAGGACCGCGGCACCTACACTGAGTCTTCTATTCAGGCATTCAATCAGGCGGCCAAAAAGCGAGAACACAATCAAAAAAGTTTTAGGTCGAAAGTTAGATCAAGAGGTGGTGAGAAGATTTATATCATCCGCGCCGTGCGTACCCACCTTCTACTCGCTGGTCAAAACCCACAAAATCGTTGGTATCGCTCCAAATAATCTCACCGATAGGGACATCAAAACTCGCCCCATAATCTCCTGTTGTGGTGGACCAGCAGATAAAATTAGCTGGTTATTGGTCAAGTTCTTCTCCCCACTCTTACGCCACATCACCTCACATTTAACAAACACCAGGGATTTCATTACATGCCTCAACCAATGCCATATTCCCGCCGATGCATGTTATGCCAGCTTTGATGCCGTTTCGCTCTACACCGTGAACACTCAAGATGCTATAGAAGCTTTGCTAACCCTCTGGAGGCACAAGGGAGAAACATACACCTTTGGCCTAGACGAAAATGACCTGAGGGATTTACTCAGAGCAACGCTGGACAGCAACATATTCCAGTTCAACGGAAGATTTTATGTCCAGCATCGAGGTTTAGCCATGGGATCACGAATAGCACCACTGCTGGCCATTGTGTACCTGGACTTCGTGGAACGAAGATCACTGACAGCTGGCATAATCTTCTATAAGCGATATATCGACGACGTGTTCATAATTGGCTCGTCTTCAGCGGAATTGGACGGGACACTTCTCAATTTGAATTCGCAGGACCCTAACATTAGGTTCACTGTGGAGAACCCCAACAATGAAGGATTTGTCCCATTCTTGAACACCAAAGTTCGGATCAGAAATGGTACCACGGAGTTATCCTGGTATAGAAAGCCAGCTTCGAAGAACGTGTTGCTGCATGCTAGAAGTGGTCACCCCCTGTACATGAAAGCCAATGTTGTCCGGAATATGGTGATCACTAAGGACAAAATATGCACCCAGCAGTCATCAGAAGCAGACTCGATGGTGGATAGAATTCTAAGAGAGAATGGGTATACAAGCACCCGCACCCATACATGGAAACCGCATTCCACGGCGGACGGAATTCCCTTGGTATTACCTTACCTAAATGAAAGCACGGCATTAAAAGTAAATAATATTGTAAAGTGCTCACCACTTCCTATACGCCTAATATTTCGTCCTCCACCAAATTTAAAACGGCTCCTTACATTTTCCAGGCCTTATGAAGATAAATGTGGAAGGGCAGGCTGTAGTTACTGCAGTGATTCTAAAATCTGTCAACTCAGGGGGACAGTTTATCTGGTGGAATGTCAAGGATGCGGGCAAAAATATGTGGGAGAAACTGGGAGGCCCCTATACAAACGGATCGACGAACACCGGAGGGCGCTGGGAAATCCACCTTCTTACCCTAATAGCAGTTTCTCCCGGCATCGCATAATGGAGCACGCTCACCAGGAACCCCCCTCTTTAATGGTCAAAGTACTACACCGCTCGGTAGAGAGCGCAATGGAAAGGAAAATATTGGAGGCCTTGGAAATAAAACGGCTAACACCCCAAATAAACAATAGGGAGGAACTACGTGACATTATGCAAGTCATAATGTGATCGCGTCACATCCCACTATTTAAGGGTGTGGTTAGGGTGGGTTGGCTAATTTGCCAGGATATTTCGGTAAGTGCCTCGTATGGGAGGAGTCCGTGCGGGTTACATCTCTGTTGCTTGGTTTCTGCATGCAAACAAGCTAAATAATTTTATATTGCCTTGAAGAAGGGCGCTCGCCACCGAAATAGTTAGCCAAATGCATAGATTTCAAAACTTTTGAGACTGCTGTCTTTTGAGTTTTTTTGGAATAAACTTTTGGAGTTTCACATTGTTAATACACATTCACATAATTTATTACGAATATCTGCATGTGCTCCACAGCGATTTATAAGAGCCAGCTGGAAGGATGGGAGCGTTGCTCAGATCAGTAATTTTGGCCTTTCTACCAGAGATTCAGGGTTATGGCCATTTTGGAGAACTAGAGGACATAACCGGCTTCGGTGGACTGCGATTTCTGAATCGTGCTGTGTGAAGTTGTGATATCCGTTGTCATTACTCCCTTAAAATCAGCATCATTTTTTCGATTAGTTGGCCTGCACATGGAGTTTACTCAAGAGCTTTTGTTCCCCAGGTTCAATGACGTAGGGATAATCCATGTGAAATTGAGATGATTTCCAAGAAGAGCGCGTGGTTCGAACAATGAGCAGCAAGAGTACTCCTCTGATTCCTATTCGAGGTGTTACCATCAGTCAGTTATCGAGAAGTAATTAAAAAGACGCGATAAATTGCTCAGCGCTCTACAGGAAATAACATGTTATCTCTTCACTCGTAAAGTAAGTTCCGGGAATACTGCGGGTTCTCTGGTGTACTGGTTTTGGTTTCCACACGAATTTTTTGCGTGTACAGCCCTCTGGTAAGTTCTAGACCTCCCATCCGTGCCGGCCATCCTCTTCATTAAATTTAGGTAAGATTTGTATGGGAGGATCGAGACATTGAATTGGGTCTTGGTTGTCCTGTGCAAGTCGATGTATGGGCCAACTCGCATTTAAAGTGGCACCACTATACCGAGTGGAAATGGGTTTCGTTGACCATCCGTGACAAGTATAGGCCGACGCTTTCTCATCCAATTTGACGATTAATGAAGTGTCTGAAGAAATTCGCTGCCGTTTTTCAAGGATTCAAATTCGGGAATTGGCACAGCAATGCTAGAGAAGTGAACACGGCGTACCGCACCATGCAGTGTTACAGCCATCCCGGAGGAGTGAACACGGCGTTCCGCGCCATGCGGTGTTGCAGCATTCCCAGAGGAGTGAATACGGCCGTGACACACTATGCACTGAACATAGGTGCCAGAGGAGTGAACACGGCCTGCCGCATCATGCACTACCGCAGAGATGCCGTCAAGCCTTTCATCTACGAAGTCGGTAAATTTGTGCCAAATCTTTGAGATTCGCAACCCGTTTTCCGCTAAAGTGATAGTATCAAGGCGATTAAGCCAATTCGCATTTCTACGGCTTCCTTATATCTATGGTTATTTACGTGAATGCATTTCACTTCATGGTTTCTCACACTTACTAGTAAGAGATGAGGCGGTTTCAGCGTAGGACACGGCCTCTTTGAGAAAGGCCATAACATTTTCCTAGGTGTAGCCTAATCCGTGTTTCCCTTGAAACAGGCGCTTCTTTTCTGACAAGAGGGATATAATAGTGAGTAGTGACAATGAGTCGAAGCACGTCGTTGATTGTTTCTATAAAATATGTTCTTTTTACTAACCGCTTGTTACGCATCATTATATGTGCAAGTGTGTTTTCGAGTCGTCGATCGCGAATAACGGCAATAAGTGGATTTGCGATGCAATGTACCGAGTAGGCGGCCATTTCAATTCCCATAATAGAGTCGACCTCCTGAAAACCAGAAATCATTCTCTACTAGACAAACCGTAAGCGTAAGCGGACCTTTGTGCTTTTCTTTGACTCCCATAATACCATCATTACAATAATTATGAATGATAGACTGTTGAGTAGTAGCCACAGCGCAACTGTAGCAGATTCTTCAAGCATTCGTGGTCGTTCAGAACCCTGTAATTAACTGATTTTATTTTGATGAGAGGTAACATCCTGCATACGTTTCTTTCCTGAAGATTTCTCGGAAAGATGTCTACGTTTCTTTCCGCTTCACCAATAGACCCGTAGGGAATTACGCCCTAGTCACCACGACAATTAGTGGTCATGTCAAAAGAATGTCCCGTTTGCCGTTGACGTCTGAAGAGAGCAAAAGCCATAAAAACTGATTGATGACAGCGATGTCTGCATGAACGTCTGACCCACCTGAGTATGAGACCGTGTTCGGCTGAGCAATACGAGATTCAAGGGATGAATGATGAGATTGAGAAGGAGGAATACAGATAGAAGGGCGAGGTGAAATGGTACGGCAAGTACGAGTGATCGTGATGTTCGAACAAGAAGGAAATCTGCTAGGAGTAGAATCGCTACCAATATCCAGCTGCTGGCTACCAGACGTGATGACTGACATCTGAAATGCTTTTAAGACTGAACGAATACATATTCATTACATATCGGCTTGAATACATTGTAGGAGAAGTAAATTTCAGTGCCTGCAGCTAAACAATTCTTCTTTTGAGGAACTGTGTTTTTCTCATAACATTATAGAGTCAAAAATTGTTTATTCATATTCCGATTTTACCACAAGATCTAATTTTTATTGTATTTCAACATTCCCGAATCAGATCGCTATAACTTCTTTAAGACACGGGTTATGCGCTGTAGTGGTGGTGGGTGGGATTCCTGTAGAATACTTGACATCGTACCTAGCAAATGTAAATATTGACCTCCTGTTAAGGGATTTTATGAGCGGGGTATTTGTAGCGAGAACTGGCGTTAACGCTGTAGCAAATGGCGCCACCTACCACGCGCACAATGAGAGTCAGACCATTCTTGGGCTGTGCCACTTTTCCTCTTCCCAGGGATCGGTAAATTGCTACCGGATCCGTCTGGGAGAATGAAAACGCTGAAATATATTTCGGCTGTACAGCGCCGTTCATTGTAGGGGCCAAATGGCCAAATCACATTCGGGATGCCACTGCAGTTCTGAATTGGAGTGCATACGTGGCGCATCCATGAAAGAAGGGAGAAATCGAGGAATTCGCATATCCCAAGCAGAGAAGGCGAGGATACATCTTTTCCTAAGAGAAAAAAATGGTGGCTCTAAAAATGCACTAGATTGTGTGGATTGATTGTGAGCAGCAGATGAACAGAGTGGCTGGGTGCGCAGAGGCAATACATCGCGTGTGCTCACTTCTCTGGATCAAACTCCACCCGCGGGAATCTTTCATCCCTTTGGATAAATTTGATTATGAAGTTCATATTAGTAGAGAACAAGGGAACCCTCCAACTACTGGATAGGACCAATGCGTTTTCAAATACAGGTCACGGCTTCGGATGGGCACTGGTTGTGTGACGGACCACGGAGGATTTTGCGAGTACTCCCTCAGCACTCGGTACCTTTGCCGTTTGCTTTAGCATGGCCCTTGAGTTGTTCTTTCAATTGAGTTTGTGTGGACTCGCAGCAGAGCGCGACGGCAACTGCTTTATATGTGAGAGTGCGCTAAAGCGGAGAATATGCGAATCTCCTACCTAATTAGGGCCAACGAGAACAAATGAGGTGAGTGGGCGGCGAAGGCAGCGCCCAACAAGCAACCTCACATAATGCAAAAAAGTCGGTGAGTTGAGAGCGCTAGTGCTATCGATCCCAAGGTATCTTTGTTGGTGGACAAAAGCGTAATGCAAAGGGATTGATCGTAACTGGATTTCAATATTCATATATCACTTAGGTTCTAGTACTCCTAAAACTTTGCTGATCCTTCTTGGTCTGTCTAGTGGGTAAATGCAGTGATAAGTAGATGTATGCTCATCAACACATAGACATGACCACAGCCATTAACTTGTTGTCTCGAGAGCAGCGATGTGATCAGGAAAGCTTCCTTCGCGACATCCTTGTCTCTAATCGAATATTTATTTCGCTGTCTGTGTTTTACTCTTTCCTCCGTGAATCCCACATTTTGAAGACGTCTATTCAACGATCGTATGAGATTAGTAAACAAGGCGCACAAAGTAGTAACAGAATGACATACTTGGATAAGAGGTAGTTGTGTCGTGAAAGTGCATGAACTACACCGATAGTAAGCAGAGTGAGTAGGCTAACTGTTGAGTTGAGCAGTACCGCGGCTGCGTGAGCACCAGATCGTTCCACTGTGGTCCATCCGTCACCACCCCACGAACGTACATGTTGCGTTACTTCGCCGTTTACTGACACCTGATGTGAATATGAGTATTAAAGAGGGTTTGTTTGCATATATGAGGCGTTGTTGGCGTTATTCTGGGTGTACTGGGCACGGCTGCTGGCAAGCATGTGTTGGCAAATACTATGTACGGTCTTGCTCGTCTCTCAGTTGACGCTTCAAGACAGCATTTGGGATTGTCATGCGAGCTGAGTTAGGTGAGAGCTTCATTGGCGCGTTTTTCTTCTCTACAGCGGACCGATAGTTAGATCAGTTAGATCTATCACCAGACCCGTTTATACTGGGCAGTGGTTTGCAACTGAGGCGATGGATATCAGAATAACGCCCTTCTTTTATTATTTAACTGCTTACAATGTTGTATATGCCATCAATGGAGCAGTGAACAACGTTTTGATATGGTGGTGTAAGACTGAAGAATATAGTAACAATAGCAGATATGCAGTTACACAACCAAAGATTACAGCTAAGTAGATGTGTAGTGGAGTGAAGATGTTTGTCAGACGAGATAGCAATGAGCACGAGTAGATTGAATGCAAATATGAGCAGGGCTAGCAGAAAGTTGAACGCCGAGGTCCACATGGCGACACGAACTCGTGATGGCCACGTAAAAGGTGAGTTAGCGGATTCCCTTCATTGCCACGATCTCTCAGAATCCACTTTATGAAGAAGGTTGATGAGGGACGGGGACGGTGACAAAATCTCAAACGTTGAAGGGGCGTAACTCTAGCGTGGTGACACTGCTTTTCTGTGTTCGCTAAATTCGCCGTCCTCTGGCCGGCCTATCGATCATGCCTCGCGCCAGCCTCTCTATCCTCATGAAGCATCCGCACTTCAAATTGTTTCCGATGGGGTTAGCGTGGATTTTTTGTGTTCGTTGACCACCCATTACACGTGAAGAGGTCTGGTAGCTTTTTTAAGCCTCAGACGATTACTTGGAGGTCATTGGCACCAGTTGAACTTGTTCCTCTCAGCGTATTTTTTTTGCTATTGATCGTTTGATGGGTTCATAGTTCAGTGAGTACCGGTGAAATTGGGCATCAGATGAAACCTACTCCGCCGAGCCGAGTGATGCCGCGATGATCTTCGTCATACGGGGTTGTCCCGATTTTTAGTGCTTTGAGCAACAACTGTTTTATAAGAAGTGGATGAGATACCTCTTCAAGTTTTATTTTTCTGGAACTGCTGGGATTGCAGTAAATTCATGAATGTTCTGTCTAGGCACATTTTAAACTGTGTCTACTTAGGACTGATGCGAAATTCAAGACCATTATGAGCATTTTCGGTACTTACGGTAGTGGTCGACTTTTTCGATTGAAACACTAGTACGAGGTGCTGGACTGAATAATTGTCATTAATTGCTAGTCCTCACCTCACATTCCTCTATATGAGCTTAAATCCTTAAAGCGGTGGACACTGTGGCTGGGCGGCTGGTTACTGCCAGCGTCACTGGTGGAAGGGCTGAGTGGGGTGTGGCCAAACACCCTCTTACAGCCCCCCCCCCTCCAGTGACGTTGGTTGGAGCCGTCTTCCCCATAGTTGGTGCTTACTGCCTTCAAAGTAGGTCTTCCACGTTCTATGGCCATGCATGATATGATATCTTCCTTCATCACAAAATTTGTTAAAATTAGAAACTGCATGAGATAGTGACAGTCAGTTCGTGATTATCCAGCTTTTGTATTTACAGCGTGGCACTTCCATTGGGGAAGAACGAAATTTGGTGTCAGCAACGGGAATACCTACGGAGGTTACATTGTCTCCGGAACTTAGAAATGCAGTGCTCATCAACGCAAAGGAATACTTTGAACTAGTATGTGTTATCTGCTGTCGTTTTCAGGAGTACTTTGAACTAGTGTTGTCACTTATTTTCATTTATGTCATTTTTTAACATTTTTGCGATCTTGAAAAAATTATATTATTTTTTTAGATGACAAGAATCAATAAACACAAGCAGGTAGCTGCTTTTATGAAGCAGTTCGCTATGAAAACGAAAGCTATCGCAGAAGTTGTGAAGGGTATGGAGGAGCTGTTGCTGCCTCGACATCCTGAAGCTTTTCTAGGTAAGCAAAAGTTGTGGCTTAATCAGTTCCCCTTCGAATTTCCTCAACTTTTGATGGGCTCCTTTCATAACCTACATACATATCGTCTTCCGATTTTTTTTTCAAAGTCCTGCCATGAAGCAGGATCGATAAGGGGGTGTAGGAAGAGACACCTCATCAAGTACTCGTAGCGTACATAGGGCGCACCTATGAGGCTATTTTAGCAGGACTTTAGGACCCCATTGGAAAGCTTCCAAAGAATATGTTCCTAAATAAATTGACTGCTTCTACTCAATACAGAAGTTTAGGCATGACCTACAGTTGGAACGACTGCTGGGGGCGGGCGGTTGTCGCCATCATCCGTGGTGGAGGGGCTAAGGGGGGTGTGATCAGACACCTCTTGCAGTCCTTCCACCAATGACACTGGCAACAACCGACCGCCTCCAGTGCTTTTGAGGTAATATGAACAACGACGATTTGAACGTTAGACACTATGAAGTGCATTCTTAAATGGAAAATTGATGTTTATGCTGGTACAGTACTCTACTACAGTGTTACAGGTGCATCATGTTTGTTTGACAAACAAGAACATAAGCAACTGTTCCTTCGACGGTACCTAGAGCTGCGTGGAAAATCAGCTACATGAGCTCGATGATTGTATTAATATTTTTCTTGGTTCAGTCACGAGTAGTTGCTGTTATTTCAAAGACTTGTCAGAGTGGTCACATGTTTGTACTGCTCTCGGCGAGAGGGGTGCATGAAAAATGACGGAGCTTATATGAATGCCTACCACTGCTGCCACTGCCAGTCGCTTTTGTGCTCTTTTCCAGGGGAGGGTAATAGAAAAGCAAAGCCACAAGGATCACGACCACTCCACCCTTTCAAACGTTGAGTACGTTTGGTACCCACGTTATCTCAAAGATGGGGTGGCATGACTGCTCTTACGATTTCAGAATGGTGCGCAGCGCGTTGTTTTTTTGTTTGAGAATCTCTCCATAAGAACCGACTGTCATATTGTATTGTTCTGGACAAAGACACTTATAAGTACATTTTTCGCAAAATTGCAATATTCCACCAAAAGCGCATCCGCAGTCACTTGCAAATGGAGTACGCAGCCACGCCTCTCCCCATATCCCAGTTACGTAGAGTACTTACTCACATGGGAAGAGGCAGTACGTCTTGCTAATAACTGCACTGAATAAAGTTATCTACAAGAAATGCTATTAAAATCGAATATCGGCCCTGCAGTCGGAGGTTAGCTACGACTTTTATAAGACTTCGAGTGTATTGCATTTGCGAGCTCTTTTTTTTGTTACAGTTCTATAAAGCGATCTGTTATTGAAGGCTTGTGAAAGTTGTGATATTCATGAAATCTCTTTGTATAATGTGGTGCTATATGTCGCTTATATTGTTGATTCAAGCGTAAATAAACAGCTAAGCTAATGATCCTGTGTGATTATCCTCTTATTGCTTGTTTCAGAAGGTTCATACGGTTTCTGCCCATAAAACACCAACCGCCTTGAAATGAGTGTCCGTGGTGTCATGGCAAGAATTTGACAAATTGGGCAGCGTCCAGATTTCGCGATGCCGCGCGACGACACGCTACCCTTGCAACCGCGCTCCAGTGCTATCAGAGGGACTGCAGCCATAGACAGTTTCGATTGGCACTAGCCACTACTGCTTTGAGAGGGTATGAGAGAATAGGCGGGTATCAGACTGATTACATGTCAGTTACCTCCTACTCTCCCATCCCACTAATTAAATCGGCTGTGTGTGTGTGTGTGTGTGTGTGTGTGTGTGTGTGTGTGTGTGTGTGTGTGTGTGTGTTGTCACGAAATTCATAGCACCTGAAGAAGAGCTTGGCGGGGTCGGGTCAGGGGGATGGATAGAACATGGGCGGAGCACAACTAAATAGCCACTTCATGGCCCATGGTAAGCCCCGCCCACAGTGGGCGGGGCGTGCGTCCAAATTTAGCGATGTCACTGAAAAAGGTCATAACTCGGTCCCAGAGCAGTCCCGTGATGAGGAAACTGGCAGTAAAGTTAGCAAAGGCCTGACCCGACCAAACATAGGAGACACACCCGAAATGGGCGGGGCGTTCTTGAGATGGGCGGTGCTTCCCGTGTCACTGAAAAAAGCTATAACTCGGCTAAAAGGCAACCCGGAGATGGGAAAAAGTAGAATAAGGCTAGCATTGGGTTGGCGGAGCAAATGGAGGAAACACACCCGAAATGGGCGGGGCGTGCTTGAGATGGGCGGCGCTTTCCATAAAGGTAGGTAACTCGGTTCCCGAAAATGTTTAGAGGTCGCAGAAAACTCCATGACGAAGATGAACATCTGTCAAGAGTCCACCATGTTTGCGGAGTACTAAGGCCCGCCCACAGTGGGCGGGGCGTGCATTTGAACCCGAGGACCATTGTAAAAAACCGTAATTTGGTGCTAAAGCACTACAGATGCGCGCCGATTTGCCTCAAGTGATCACATGCAGGAATGTTGCGAGGCACTCCGCTGTGGCGCGAGATGTGGGCGTGCCAGCGTGGCGTGTGAGCAGCAACTTAAAAAATTCACAAAACGCTTCCAGAGCCCTCACACCGGGAAAAAGTAGTTTAAGGTCATCGAGGGGTCATAAGTTGAGAAGCGCGAGGCATACGTTGTGGGCGGAGCGTGCCCCAAGGTGGGTGGAGCCAAACTTAAAAAATTCGCAAAAACGGCTTCCAGCGCGACTTCAGATTCAAAAGTAGTTTAAGGTCATCGAGAGGTCATAAGTTGAGAAGCGCGAGGCATTCGTTGTGGGCGGAGCCTGCCCAAGGTGGGTGGAGCCAAATTTAAAAAATTCGCAAAACGGTTCCAGAGCACTCCAGACACTGGGAAGAAGTAGTTTAAGATCAGCGAGGGGTCACCGGTTCACAAGTGTCAGGCATACCTGTCGTGTGTGGAGCGTGCGTCAAGGTGAGCGGGACCAGCCTTAAAAACTCCTCAAGCGGTTCCAGAGCACTCCAGCACTCCAGACCTCTATGTGATACGGCCCGGCTTTGCGGGGCGTCGCGCTTACCTGCATTCGTATGATCAAATGCTCGACTAATACCCGGCTTTTCTCTCATCTGCCCACTTCATCAACGCTCCGTGCCACCACTCCATTCACTGTAATAGTGTTGAAAGTAGCAGGTATGATGCTATTGGTCAAGGAATGTTGACCACCTGTTCAGGTTAAAGAAAAGCCTGATATTAGGTGGCTAATGAAATGAGTGGAATAAGGCAAGCGCGGCGGAGCGAAGCCGTGCTGTATCTCAGAAGGAGGCGCGCCGGTGTCAGCCGGCGAAGCCGGCTGGTACTCTCAAAAAGCAGAAGGGTCCGCGCTGATCGATGCCCGTCTATGGCTGCGTCTTAATCTACCGTAATAGAGCGCGGTTGTAATGGCAGTGAGCCGTCTGAAGTCTGAACGTTGCCTCAGGAGATATTAACTGATCAGAGGCGGAGTATCATGAAGAAACCCAGGTGTTAGTGAATATTTCATCTATTTACATACAATAGAAAACACTAAG